AATAATACAAAGTTTTTCCACGATGGCATGATTCATGTTCAAGCATGGTAAGCCAACTTCTTACATGAAGGCATGATTCATGCATGTTCGAGTATGTAGTAGCTAACCACATAATAGTATAACATAAAATCAATAGCATAATGAAATATATTGGTAAGTAATAAATTTAGGAATTATCAACAGTACTAATAAAGATGAGGGATTCCTGACACCTTAATAAATCACATGTTGACAATTTGGTAATATAATAAACAATCATCCCTTGCTTCTCTTCATTACTAATGCAACATAATTTCGAAATAGATACATAATTTCGAAATAGCCACATAGTTGTTTCAAACTCATTCTCGAAACTTTATAAAGGTATTGATAGTTGTCTTACGATTCCAAACTAGCTTATATGACCCCAAGGGACAACCCTTGCATTCAAATTAATTTTGGAAAAATTTCTTAAGAGTCCATTTTGGTGGTAAGTATCATCTAATTTGCCTTCAGATAGTTCAGCGTAAATTCCATTCTAATATTACAATTTCAGACCTTAATCTTATCACAATAACAGCGTTTGTAGTCCAACGGTTAGGATAATTGCCTTCCAAGCAATAGACCCGGGTTCGACTCCCGGCAAACGCATTTTTAAACCCCTTTTTTTTTTTTACATTGACCCACTCAATCATAAGTGGGCCATCAATCAGATATTACAACAACCCATTTAACCATCCATCCAATCCTGACCACAAAAGGGCATTTTCGTCCACCACTTCAAAAAAAAAAAAAAAAATCAATCATAAATTCCATTGTCTTACTCGAACGACACCGTAAAGGTCGCGTGTAAACCTCACATTATCCACACAAATACAACTTCTCACTTTCTCTCTCTAACCGTCAATGGCCGGAGCACCTCGTACGTCTCTCTCTCCAACTCGCTTAATCATTCCTCCTATCTCCGTCGCCGGAAATATCTTCCGGCTGAAATTATCTTCCTCCGGCATCGTCAGCCACCGCTGCTATGTCGCCGGCGGCGGATTGTCTACTTGCGCCGCCTTCCAAACTCCGGTAATTTCCGAAGGTCCTTCATGTATTTTCGTCGGTCCTGTTGAAACAGCTAGCCAAGAAACCCTAGAAGCTCTTTATCGCCAGGTATTATCAGTTCATCTTGATTGAATCAATGTAATTCATGGTTTGATTGATTTTAATTTGGTTTTGATTTTTTTTTTTTTTTTTTTTTTTGAAATGGATAGGCAAAGGATTCGTATTACAGTGGGAAACCGTTGATAATGGATGACATGTTTGATAGAGTTGAGGTGATTTTGTTGAAATGATCTCTAATTTAATTGAATTGAATTGATGAATTGCTGCTGAATTTGTGGTTTTGTGATGGTGGAACAGTTGAAATTGAGGTGGTATGGGTCGAAATACGTGATGAAGTATCCAAGGTGTAGTTTACGCCGGCAATCTACTTATGCTGATGCTCAGGTGAACTACTTTATTTTCTGTTTGTTGTTATTTCTACTACAATTAACTGTTTAAACGACTCGTGAAAAGTTGAATTATGCTGATTAAATGTGTTTCTGCTATTTAATTTACAAGAGCAGAACTGGAATTTAATAGACTAAGTCAAAAATTGACCTGGCCTAGGATTGACACAAATTTGCTCGAAAGATTTGGAGTTTTGATTAGGATTGTTAAATCCGAAAGTGTAAAGGAAAAAGGGTGAAAATTCTACTTAAAAGAGGTCTTGACCAATCTAATTCTGATATCTTATCCTTCAAAAAGTAGTGTGAAGCGTCTGCAATTATTTTACGATGTGATGATGATGATGTAGCTAAGCTACATCAGTGTGATGGTGTAGACATTCTGTCTGAGTAGAAATTTTACTTTAAGAAAATTAATGCAATATGACTTGTGGCATTTAGTGCTTTTCTGGCTTAGAGAGGAGTTCTACAACTTTACCTATTTCGAAGTATCAAAGCCCTTTGTGTAAGCAAGTCTTCACTTTAGTATCTGCTTATGGAGTTATGGTTACTAAGAAGTACCAAATCAGTGTTCTGTGTGAGCTGAAAAATTAATTGAAATTGAGCATTTGACCTCGTTAGACTGAATGTGTTATAATTTATTCCTCTGCCTTGGTTACCTTTTGAAATAAGGTTAAGGTTAATGATCTATGTTTTCATTATTGACCTGCAGTTTAGGGCAATTTTAAGGATGTAGACTCAAAAGATGGACACACAGTCCTCAATCACTTTTATTTTGTAGTGCAAATTATCTGTGATATACTCTTATGATGCCCGTCATGATAATATGTACAAACATTTTTGGGATGGGAGGGGGGAGAAGATGAAAAGGCTAGGCAAATTATTGAGTTTTGAAGGATGTGGCGTGTAAGTTTGTTTTGGGGGCTGGTAAGACTGTCCTCTTATCACCTTTGCAAGTATGTAGGCACATATCAGTTGACTTTAAAATACTTAATCAAGATCCCTGGTAATTGCTGTTACACAGACCGTTTATGGTTATACCTGTTGTAGTGTAGCCACATTTCTACATTGGTTGAAATTGGCTAATTATCACATGTGCTGTCATGGGCAAGAAACATACTTCACTTTCCTGTCAGATTACCCACCTCCCAAACCTCCCCCTCTCTTCCCCAAATAAATATTGGAGGAAATTAGAGAAAAGGAAAGAAAGGCAAAGGAGAAAATTGGTAATTTGTTACTAAAGCTTCTGACTACTTCCTCCTTTGTTAATGCCAATTTGTTCCTAGTTTAGAAATTTTGTAACTTTTTATTAATAGTAAGAGCAACTGTATAATCCACTATAGTTTTGTCATTTTGAAAAGAAATTTGTTAGTGCTTTCCATGTTGAATAGAAAGATATTTGTATATTAGTTGAAGATGTAATGACATGTATGTAGGGCAGGAAGACCCTTCGCAGGTGTTTGCTTTGGCGAGCGTCTGGTTTTTGATACTTGCATTCGGTGGTGCGGTATGCCTTGTGCCCATGTTATACACCATCAACTTAGCTTATCAGGATGCTTTGAATTCAGAAACAGTCTACAGCAGCCATCCAGCTGCAGTGGAGTTTCTTGGCATGTTGAACACTGTGCTTTTCATTCTTCTGGGTTCCATTATTGGCTGCCCAATTGCTTCAGCTTCTGGTAATTTTGCATCCAGCCTTTTCATTACCATTGCTTTACTCTGTTAGTCTGTTGAATTGATTCAAACTGGTATGATAGCAGTGTGCCCTTAGACCTTCAACCTCATAGTATATAGCTGCCATATGTATTAAATCTTTAACAGTGAATACAGAAATAGATTGCCATGTCATTCTTGATCACTACAGGTTTTGTTACTTGCGAAACCAAGTGGAAAATAGTTATTTGAACAGTTAAATAATAACCTTATTGGGTTGAATGTCATGAAAAAGAAAAAAAAACTGATGACCATCATTATCCAAGTTTGGTTGATGAATAAGTTTAAGGATGAAAGGGGAAAATGTGGTTCTGCAATATTGCTTTCTTTGGTCAACCATGGTTAAATGACACCAATAATCATCTGTCATCTAATGCCCATATTCACTGTTCAGCTAGAGCACTACAAGGCCTGTGGCGGAATGATCTAGTGGCGCTGAAAGGAGCTTGTCCAAATTGTGGAGAAGAGGTTAGCTTACTGAATTTGCACTTTTACCTCTAGAAATCTTTTATTAAGGCTGTGTCCTCATTGTAATAATTGAATCCGAGTGATTTGTACATAGTAGTATCTTTCTCACAGATATTGCTGGCAAAAATTTTCAGGTCTTTGCATTTGTGAGGTCAGATCATAGCCATAGCTCTTCTCATAGATCAGATTGTCATGTATGCGAATGCCGGCTTGAATTCCGCACCAAAGCTGAGGTAAATTAAGTTTCCTTTAGCTTCACAATGTGGATTGGATGACAATTTTGGTATGTTGCTACAAGTGGCTACAACTTTATTTTCTGACTACATATATCAAAATATACAGCATAAGAACCAATGTAACCCAAGATCTTGCACTAAATTGAATTAGCAAGTTTTTTGTTCCATGTATATGTGGGCCTTCATCCCTATTTAACCACTCACTAGCCATAAGTCCATGACTGTTTAATGTTTATAGATTGTTGGTTAACTTGGTTTTGGCTTATGTAGTTTGGAGATTGTGTTGAAATTGCTTGACATTCCTTATATCTATCATTTTGCAGCAATCCATTTCAAAACTTGGCAGACGATGGGTTCATGGTCGTGTATACCTGATATCTGATAGACGAAGTCGCCGGCGTTAAACATTCACACGATAACCAGGGCAAGAGAGAGTTAAATGTGATTTTGAGTTCATGTACAGTAGGACAATTCTTTTGAAGCTGAGCACAGGCTGGTAGTACAAAATTCAAAGCATACAGCAAAGCAAAATTTATACAGTTGGTCAGTTGGACATTAGTGTAAGCGTAATACCATACTGTAGCCTCCTTCCTGCCTAGCTAAGTATAAATCTCCCATATTGTGTATGAAAGCTATAGTTCCCTATTTTCCTTTTCTTACTTATTATTTTCTTGTCTGAGATGGTTATTACACATGCCAAGACACTCGACTTTATGATATTTATCTTAGTATTTCTTTCCATCGGCATGGAAAATTGTATGATTGAGATGCTAAGGGGGTTTTTTTTTTTTTTTTTTTTTTTGGCATTTATTTAGTGCAATTTATAGTTAATTCTTCAACTTAATGATAGGAGAATTACTCTATTAAGCATGTTTTTTTTACTAATAGCTATTAAATCATTAGAACAATTTCCCTTGTGATGCTTGAGAGCTAGTTGTAAAGTTCACTATCAACTGAGATTTAAATAGCCTGTGATCACAATTGGAATGGATCAAATTCAAAATTCAATAGGCATATCAAATCTGTATTTCAACAAGGCAAAGGGGTAGTCTTTTTTTGAATCCCTCAAAGAAGGAACGCTAAATTTATCAAAATTATTAGAACTTCCATGAGGTGACGAGTAAGAACTTTGCTATCAATTTAAATGCTAACGAGTTTGTGCTTCACAATAAAACTAAGAAAGTACAAACTTTAAACAAATTTTTCATACAACTGTGATAATGGAATCATCTAGCTGTTCCAGGCAAATCAGAAAATTTGGCGCCAAATCATCTTAATATTGATCAAGAATAATTCTTGCCACCTAGTCAATCAAAAGTGTCCCAAGCTGTATACTAGAATCCATGCAAGCTGTAAAAACAGGAGACGGAACTCAGTTTCCAGCGACGCATCAAACAGAAAAAACTTAGAATGTTATGTTGAGACGGCAAAGGGGCTTACCAAAAAGAGAGTCATTGATGCAAAAAGCCCTTCCTGGAGGAGAGCACCATGACCATCATATTCTTCCTCGTCAACCTTCAGTATCAATGCATAATACCCATACACGATGGCAGTGGAAAGAGCCAAGAACCTGTAACCATACAGCAGAAATGCAATGAATAATGAATCATCAGGAAGAAAAGGGCAAGAGACAATCGAACAGAGCATGATGACATGACATGAGCAGAAACCTAATTCCTTAAATATAAGACCGTAATAATACTGTGGCCTCAACTTTAGAATTTCAGTTGTGTCCAGGCAAAAACACCTTGAAGATAAGTTGGGCAGCTCTTCATTTCTTACCACTGACTTCATTTCTTACCACTGACATAGGAAGCTTCCAAGTACAATCTAAAGAGCTACAATTTAGGATTTGTGATTGTTACCTTAAAAAAAACCTAATCAGAACTTATTAGCCCAATAGCCCCTATATGAGCTTATTTCTCCTTATTCAGGAATAATATGGTCTTATTGGCCCCTATCCAAAATTAATTAGTTGCGCTTTGAACTTTAGCGGTTTAGCCCTTACTTGAACTTATCTAAACTTCACCTATTTTTCCTGAACTATTCTAACCTATTAGTCCTTATTTAAACTTTATATAATAAGGTATTAATTTTCTTAAAGCTTGGTGTTTCAAGGTGAAAAGAACAAAGCCTACAAGATGTCGGATCAAGTCATAGCAGCAAAGATAATGTCACTTCTGTATCTACAAGAACATAAGATTGATATGAAAATACAGATGTACAAGCTATTCTTCTTTAGAAAAACAAAAAAAAAAACCCTGAAAGACTCAAAGTAATTCAACTAAGTAAGCTAACTAACACACATAACCCATCAATTTTCCTACCGAATATAATAATAACAAATAATCATCCAACATATAAAAGGAATTCCTATATACAACCAGGAGAACCAATGTGTTGTACTCATAATATTTTACAAGATACAGACACGCCACAATAATGAAATCTATAATGCTCAAATGTCAATGACCACCTGTTATATTCCATAATGCTAACGGAAAATCCAGAGCAAATTGATTTGCAATCATAAAACAACTACAGTAATTTGGAAGAATCAAGCCGAAGTAATTCAAGGCAAATGTTGATGCGGAAATAATCATTCATAATAAAACCAAAATGCACTCTAACACACTGTCTGTATAATAGGAGTATTTCTAAGAGCAACTTACAATATGAGCCATACACCTCCGACCAAAGGGATCGCACCCCAAATCAAACCACACACGAGGCCCACGATTTGTCGAGTCCAATGTAGAACATCCCCTAGTTGATCCTGGAGAAGAAATAAACAGCTCAACAATCAATAACAGACATGCTCAAAATAGACAAAAGGCAACCTAATACTCTCCCATCTATACATAAACCCTCTCACGAGTAACATTCAATTGATCAATACCAATAAACAAACTATCTAGCAATAGTAATTTCACCAGAGAATGGATTCACTAATTCATCAGTTCAATGTTATTTGGAACTAAAACCCAAAATCCCATTGATTAAGATTAGCTAAACCTTCAACAAGCCTACACATTGAGATTGACTATAACTTGGATTAACCATAATTTGACTGATTTGGTAAAGCTTCAACAATCCTATAATCAAGATTAACCAAATCAACTACACCAATTGAAATAAATTATACCTTACAATAAATCTCATTACTTTGGAAGATTGGCGGAAACTCCAATAATCCCACTAATAAAGATGGACTAACTCCAATCTTCTACATAATCATAAATCAATCATATTAATCTCAAACTTAACTAACCAATCCAGTTCTTAAACATCAATACGAAATTCATGATTATTTTTTTTTTCTAAAAGGAAGAAATAATTTCAAAGATAAGAAAGTTAACCTTATCCCAGGAAACATCAGGATCAAACAATTTGCCCAATTTAAAAGGAGAAGAGTGACCACTCTGATGCTGATGGGTCAATTTCGATGCTTTCTTATCCTTCATCCTTGTAACTCAAATCTTAAAACCCAGAAATTAAAACAAAATTTAGGGTTTATGAGCAATAATCTGGGCAATTAAGGAAATAAAGCTTTAAAATAGGGGTTTGGGGAAGTGGGTAAAATTTGTATGGTGAATATATGTAAGCTGACAACAATGGTAGGTGGGGTAAGCTTGGGATCTGAAAAAGACAACGATGATGAAGTTATGAATTATGTTGATTGAATTGAAAGTGTTAATATTAAATTAGGGTTTTTTCTAGATGAGGAAAGCACGTGGTCAGACCAGAAATTTGTAGGTGTTTATGATCTGTAAATTCTAGATTCTGGGATCAATGCAAACTTAAACAAAGAGGAAGATAAGAGAGAGAGTACTAGAGTAGTGGTGTTGAGAGGGGATTGAGTGTTTTTTGGTTTGAGGATGTTGGTGTAGATGAATGACGGAGTCACAATCCTACCATGATTCGGGGACCTGAATTCTGTGTTCAAATTTATCTTGGAAGAGTCCTACATATGTTAAACGATCAAGATTTGACAAACAATATCCTAACATACTCATTCAAGGAAAGGAAAGGGGGTCGAATACACGTGACCAAGTTGGGATCGGCCTATCTGGCTATCTCCACACTAAGGAGTTTAGTCCGTTGTACTGGACTTGATTGAACTATGAGGTTCTTGTCTGCATAGAAACCTTTATCTTACCTACCAAATGGGGGAAAATATGGGCATATCTTGTGTTGGATAAATGACACACATTGATTCATTCAATAAAGTGAATTGCAACAATTTTTAACTAAGAGAAAAATTATCTAAATAAACATCCCACGAAATTGCCATAAGAAAAGATGGAGAGAAAGTTAACACAACATTATCATCAAATGACTTTAAATTTTTGTGAGTTATAAAAAAACCCATCAAAATACTTTCAAATGTCTTCAATCCCTTAAATTGGATTTTCAAAGATGTAATTAACAAATAAACACAATTAAGGGTGTGTTTTATTCACCTTATTTTTTACTTATCTGAACTTAACTTAATTTATCTAAAGTGATCTGAACTTATTAAAGGTTTTTTAGTTATAATTTGAACTTGGGTAACCCTTATCAAAACTTATATTTCTTGAACTAAATTTATCTGAACTTATTTTTCCTACAGCCCTGAATTGAACTGAATTTATTAAACTTGAAATAAGTGAAAATAAGTTGAATAAACCAGGTCCTAAGAAAGTAATGAACCCTTAATGACTCTTCGGGTGACAAAATTTTGTCTTAATCCTCATTGTTCGAATCACATGATGTATAGTTGGAAAAATGGGTTCAACAAACATTTTAAGGGCAATATTTTTTTTAAGAATGTGAATCAGTTTAATAGGATTGAATATTACATTGGTTGAAAATATCGTAATTAAATTTTGAAACATAATTATCGCGGAATCGAAGAAGGGGTGAAGACGGAAGAGGTTAGAGGTGCATTGTATGTAATTTCTGCCTAATTGATTGAATGATTGTCACTAGAGTGTATCGATATACATAGTGTAAAAATAGCAGAGGTGGAAGTTATAATTTTTTTTTTTTTATTTGGAGAAGTGGAAGTTATTTGGAGGTTATTGTAAAATAAATAAATAAATAAAATTACACAAAGTTACAGGATTGGAGTTTTGGGGTAATGTACTGATTAGTTAGAAAAAAAATGTTAAATTAAAATATAGATGACAACAATCTACTTAATGAAAAAGAAGAATCAAAACTAAATAATTAATCCCCAATTATGTTTTGTAGACTTTTAGAATTTAGATTTTCTTGTACACTAGTGCAGTAAAAAAGGAATTCTAAATAATGAGAAAAGGAACCATCTAATAATGAAAAAAAGGAACCAAATCTAAATAAGTGATCCCCAATTATATTTTTAGGCCTTTTGCTTTCAGAATTTAGATTTCCTTGCACCGTATTGTTAGACTATTAGTGAAGCAATTCCAATGGCAAGTCAATTGTCAAATTAGCTTGTCATGCCACATAAGTTTTTAATCTTATTATCTTTCTAGCTAGTTTGAGTTTCAATAGCTAGCTATTAAAGCAACTCAAATGGTAAGCTAATTAGCAAATTAGTTTGTTATGCTACATAAGATTTTAAGCTAATCTCTTTTGTAGCTAGTTTGTGCCCCAATGATTAGCTACTAGCTTGTGATTAAAATGAACTTTTATTTCTTAATTAGCATTTTAAATTTAATTATATTATATCAACCCATCTTTTTAGCAAGTTTTTTTTTGTCAATAATTATTAAAAAAATTCTTGCTAACAAGCGCCTCAGGGCGTAAGATAACTACTTAATATATTATTTAAAATAGTATTACGTTCGGAATGTATGACAAAATCACGCGTCGGTCGGTGTAATCAATGTTAATTTTACTTTAATATTTCCACATTTAGTTTTCTTATCTAATATGAGTAAAAACGATGGGAGATGAACGTTTGGTGTTAGATGTATTATCTCTAATACGCATTACAAGTTATCTTAATCATTGTCATAATATTTATTGGCTACTTTAAGTAGATTGCTAAGTACCGCCAGCAAAATTTATCACACCGCCAATATTTCAAGCAAAGGGACAACATTGCCCTTACTAAAATCTTTCCCCATTTTCTTTCTCTAACTTTAGTCCATCCACCACTTCTAAAACAACCACATCAACCACCACCAATCACAATCGCCGCGCAACCACCACTATCTATACCAAACTGCCAATAATAATAACAATTAATTATAATAATTTTCTAATAATAATAAAACTAATTATAATTATTATCAAATAATAATAACAATTAATTACAATAATTTTTTTTTTAAAAAACCGATTGTCGGTAACTGGCGGTCAAAACCGATTGATCGGTGCGGTCAACCGATTTTGACCGTCAATTACCAGTGGTGGTCAACTGGTTTTGAGTGCCGGTTACCGGCCACCGATTTTATTTATTTATTTTTAAAAAAAAAAACTTAAATTCAAAACAAAAAACTAATCGGAAAACTTACCTCCTTCCCCAGATTTCTAGCCATGCCGTCACCGTCAACGCCCAGGTACCGACGTCTGTTAGCGCTACCACCTCCTGGTATGTCGGTTGCCTCTACTGTGGTGGTGGTGGTTTTGTTTGGGGATCTTGGGGGTGGTTGATGAGAGAGAAAAAAAGAAAGAGGAGAAAGATGGGTTAAGGTTTAGTAAGGGCAATAATGACCTTTTGCTTGAAATGTTGACGCGGTTTTGATAATTTTTGTTGGCGGTGTTTAACACCTCCCTAATTTAATGAGCTTGAATTTGACTAATTGAAGAAGAATGAGAAGTGGAGTAATTGGAATGAGTACTACATCAATTTAAAAGATTGTAATTAAATTTTGGGAAGTTGGTTCAAGAACGGGGCAAAAAGATTAGAGGTGCATTGCAATTTCTGCCTAATGGATTGAAATGACAACCATCAAATTAATGAAAAAAAGGAATAAAAGCATTATGACACAAATTAGCTATAAAGACAATTATGTATTTATATGGGCATGACCGCATGAGTCGCATGACAAGCTCAATTAGCTTATTATTGGAGATGTTCTAACAAGTTTATTGTATTTTACTAATGAATGTTTTTATTTAATAGTATAAGGTTTCTTAAAAAAGTAATAATAAGTCTAAACACACACAAATATTTGCTGTTAATCACTACTGTCCCATCCTCCTCCAGAGTCCAGACTCGTCTACATATGAATATACTATAACAATAATAATGTTTACCTCTCTATATATACTCATCATTCTTTCTCACTCTTTCGATCCCAAAATTTATTCTTTTTCGAATTGATCCTATTTTTTAAATTAGGGTTTTCAATTTCAATCTTAATTTGGTCACTTATTCTAATTCAATCAATCATGCCGAGCCCCAAGAAAAAGATGGGATTCTTCTCTTCGATGACTTCCAGCTTATCCATGTTCAGTAACGCCATGCATAGATCTGTCAATGGGTACTTTTTTTTTTCCTCTTTCTCTCTCCTCTTTACGTCGCTTTTTTGCCAATTTGTGTCTGTAATTCGGCCCCTTTTTTTTGAGCAATTTTGTGAATTCTATGTGTTTTAAATTGTGTTGAAAGTTGGGTTTAATTGTAATTTGTGAATTGATCAAGTACTTTTGTTTATGATTATTGATTTATGCTTAATTTTGGTGATTGTTTTCCCCCTATTAAGTACTGTATGAAATTTATGTGATCTCTAGGTTTATAGGCTATGAAAATCTGGAAGTTGTAAACCCTGAGGGAGGTAAGGATGATGCTGAAGAAGAAGCACATAAAGGAAGATGGAAACAAGAGGTGTGTATCTTTTGCTAACTCATGCTATTGATTTTCCTAAATTTGACTTTTTTATACATTGTTTTGGAATTTCCATTATACAGTCGGATGTACCTTAGCAGAATGGTAGAGCTTCAAATGAGCAAAAAATTACCTTGGGTGTACCTTAAGTTTGATTTTTCATTTCTTTTTAGATAGAATTATTGGAATTGTGTAGGATGAGATTGTTTAATTCTCATGTTGTTCTCCCTTAACTTCAAAATAAGGAAACTTCATAATAAAATCTTTCTAGTATAAATTACCTATTATACATGTCAGCTTTTGCATATAGTTTCCATGTAACAATGAATTGCTACTTCAAAGTCTTGGGCTCTAGTATGATTTTATTTGGTTTTTGGTTATTTGATTATTTTAATGTTGACCCTCATCACTAGAAATCTTGGAGTGCTTAATTTCAAAGATCTTTGGATTCTGTGCACTAACTTTCAGGAGTGCTCATATAAATCAGTATGTACATGCTATTTTATGCTTACCTTATTTGCTGAATTTCTGTATTTGCAGGAGAGAGATAGCTACTGGAGAATGATGCAGAAGTACATTGGGTCTGACGTGACATCAATGGTAACTCTGCCAGTTATAATCTTTGAGCCTATGACTATGCTCCAGAAAATGGCAGAGGTTTGTGCTGTCTCTTATTTATCATTGATGTGTGTGGAGTGATGTTTGTGCTTAATTACATGTAGATGTAGTGATTGTTTTAATGCTGGAAATGGTGTATTGTGTTAACAGTTAATGGAGTACAGCCACCTGTTAAATCAGGCTGATGAATGTGAAGATCCTTATATGCAATTGGTTTATAGTGGTGAGCAAACTCTCTTATTGAATCTGAGGCAAATTTCATGTATCATCTGATATGAATTCTATTCATGTCTTGGTTTGCAGCATCCTGGGCAATATCTGTATACTACGCTTTTCAGCGCACCTGGAAGCCTTTTAATCCCATTCTTGGTGAAACCTATGAAATGGTCAATCATAATGGGATGACCTTTATTTCAGAGCAGGTCTGTTTGTCTTTGAACTTCCTTTTAATACAACACATGTTTGTAGCTTCTTTTGGAGCAGGGCTTTGACATAAACCTGGAAAGCTTCTCTTTTTAATTTATCTAGCAGTTTTACTATGTTTTGCTGTTCATGCATTTAATTAGGTATTGCTGATATTTTGCATTTTCTGTATATATTAGGTGAGTCATCATCCCCCTATGAGTGCTGGACATTGTGAGAATGAGCATTTTACATATGATGTGACATCAAAGCTGAAGACAAAATTTTTAGGCAACTCTGTTGATGTTTATCCCGTTGGAAGGTAAGGATTACTATTTTGTTTATGGTACTACCTATTTTTTTAGAGTATTGGTGATTAGAATTGCACTTAATGTATGCAGTCTGAACTATACCTAGCTTCTTTTTTGTGTTGCGTTACCTTTTCAAGATGCACATAATATAGGTTTTGGAAAAATACTAATTGGGAAAATTGTGGTGGCCTCTTGTACTTGTAGTATTGTGGTCATCACCTATAAATGAAAATTGTTTGAGAGTCTTGCTCTTACCTACCTTCAATAATTTTCTTGATAGACTACATTTGGAGGCCATGAAAATGGCTTCAATGAACTACAAGTAGCAAAAGTATCATTTTGTCTTGCTGTTCTTCTCATACTTCGTAGCTAGTTTTACCACATCCTCAAAGAGTAATGTGCCCAGTACCTGCCTTATTAGGGTCAAACCCACTAATGTTTGTTTTGCGCTCAAAATACTTTTCAAGTTAAATCTCCAGCATATTACATAAACTAGACAACAGCATATATATTAGTATCATCGTAATCGCCAATGATTTTTTATTCTTCCTCAATTATGTTGAAGGATGCAAGAGGGTTCGAGTTACCTTCCGAATATAAAAATCTTGATATCCTGATCAACTTGGTTGAACTTTTATTGCCTCCTTGAAATTTTTTCAACCTAAGAAACCTTTCCATCTTCTTCAAATTGTTCTTTGGTGGTAGGTGTACACTTCATCTATAGTTCGGTAATTCAGTTTTCACTCAAAACTTGTTGAAGACATTGGCTTCAATTACATGTTCCTTGTAAGTTGGGTTTGGATTTGTCATGACATGACTTTTGTTTTCTTCTTCTTTGGTTGAAGGTGAGGGATATATTGTGGATAATAGGGATTGACAATTGAGGTTTTTGAAAAACTAAAAGGAAAGAGTGGAGATTTACGGAATATGTTAAGTTTGAAATGAAAATGAGAGGCATGATTTTGAAGTGTAAAGAAACGATATGGTGAGGTAAGAAATAGAGATGTAAAAAAAAAAAATTGGGAAGTTTTGAACTTTAAACTTTTGCTAACTCTCTAAGATAATTCCTTATTTTTAGCATGCATGCGAAAAGTTGATGCATATGGTCCCTTCGAAGAATTTCTGATGATTTCCAAAATAATTATTAAATGAAAGTTTTTTCAGAGTTTTATGTTATACACTTAACAGGTAAAATATAGATATTAACTCACATTAGCGAAAATAAGGCAAGTGCAACGCAAAAAGGAAGTAAAAACAACTCCAATAAACTAGCATTAAAGTTGGATTAATGAAACAAGTCAGAAGAAAGGTTTGTTATTCACAAAAGTAAAAATGGAGTTACTTAAGCCGCTGTCATCTACATTATAGCACTCTTTTTGCATTGAACTTGTGTGGAAGCTCATAAGCCTGGCAGGCTGGCATAAACCCATATTAGCATCATGTTTGCGTCACATAAGAGAATAATCAATAGAAATCTACTGTTAATGCTTGATTAAAGCTACAGCACAAGAGCATTAGGGGACTGAGAATGGATGTGCCAGTTCAGTGTGGAAGTACCATTGCTTTCTTCTTGGCTCATTCTGGGGCTTTTGGTTTCTGGCCTTAAATGAACAGAGAAAAGTTAGCTAGCTTGATGATTGTGCCGTTCTCTGGTATGAGAAACAGGATATATATTTAGGGATGAACATGTAACACTAGTTAGACCCCAGGCTCTCATTTCGTGTTTTTACCTCCATCCAAAGTGGGAGCTCTGACATCACTAGCAATCAATGGTCCGATGTATCTCATATATGTACGGAGTATCTTGATTCTAGACACATTTATTGTCATGTGAACTAGTGCTGTGATGAATAGTATATGGTGATGAAGCAGCTAACTCTGAATGTTTTAGTTTTAGTTTACTCATTTTTTTCCTGATTATTATTAAATTGTTTAATTGTGATTTTCTTGGATGCAGGACACGTGTCACTCTCAAAAGAAGTGGTGTAGTGTTGGATCTGGTTCCGCCTCCTACTAAAGTTCACAATCTAATATTCGGCCGGACCTGGGTGGATTCACCTGGTGAGATGATAATGACCAATTTAACCACTGGAGATAAAGCTGTGCTGTATTTTCAACCATGTGGTTGGTTTGGGTATGTAGTTATTTTTGTTTTCTTTAATTGCAAAATTTGTATTCAGATAACAATGCCGCTGCTTATTTTCACTGCTTGATTATCTTTTCATTATATTTCCCCCTCTTTGTTTGACATTCAAGACCATTACCCCAATGTCTCTAATAATATTTGCTAAGTGTCTGAAAGATAATTGATTGGCCTGTTAGTTCTCAGCAAATAGGTAGATGACTGTATCATAAGCCATTTGGCTTAGTCCATTGCATTCCGAAATTAAATGTGTTTTGGCTCATTAACACCACTAGGACTCTAGGAGTATTCAGTATTTACTTGTATGCATCTCCAAAGTCCCATTCCCTTATGTTAGCCCTAAGTCCTTCCAGAGTACTCTTGTTACTTGTACTTCCTGATTCTACTTTAATTCTAAATTGATAGCTCTTTATCTATTCTTACCTATTTCGGTTTGGAATAGTTTAGATGAGTGTTTGACATGGCATGTCTATTTTTGCCAGTTTATATTTGTCACAAATCTGGGAAGTGGCAACTCAATATTCAAGTCCTTTAGGCTTGAAGACTATTTTATTGCCTCTGAACCCCTTGTTCTCTTTGAGGCTGATAATCCCCTCCGCCCTTCTCTCTCATTTTTGTCTATTTTGGCTTATTGAGCTTGTATTTCCTTGTAGGGCTGGTCGATATGAGGTGGATGGTTATGTATATGATGCAAATGAGGAGCCTAAAATATTGATGACCGGCAAATGGAATAAGTCAATGAGCTATCAACCATGTGATGTGGAAGGGGAACCACTACCTGGCACAGAAATGAAAGAGGTTCATATCTAAGATCCTTTGGTTTTCTCTGATATGTCTTTATGGCTTACTTCTCCTAGAAATATTCAGTGAAATTCACTAATATTCCGCATGGAATTGGATTTGTTGCCTATTTTTAAGACTTTTTACTGTTCAAATGTGTCAGTTATGGTGTTACTTTCAACTTTCCTAGTTTAATTCTATGCATATGTGAGTGTAACTTATTGAGTGGATTTATCATAGTCTCCGGCTCTCCGCGATGGGATTACAATAGATTCAAAACCTAGTTTTATCCCTAAAAGGATTCTACTAATCCACATGATATCTAATAGGTACAAAGTATAAGTCCCTGAACTAAGGGTTTATTCTATTCTACTTTTTTTGTCTGAACTTATTTTACCCGAGCTTATATTGTCTAAACTTTTTCTATATGAGCTTAATTTGTCAGAACTTGTCTGGAATTATCTAAGCTTATTTTGTTTGAAATTAGTTATAATAAGGTGAATAAACATAGCCTAGTCGACTATGTGCCTTTATGTGACCTTCAAGCTCTCTTGGATTTGGTTTCAGTTTTCACACCCTCCTCATGTGTGTTGTATATGTATAAATTTTGCAGGCTTGGCATCTTGCAGATACTCCGAAAAACGACAAATATCAATATACCTACTTTGCCCACAAGATAAACAGTTTTGATACAGCCCCCAAGAAGTTACTGGCATCAGATTCACGTTTACGACCTGATAGATATGCTCTTGAGATGGGTGATTCATCCAAGTCTGGTGCTGAAAAGAGCAGGTTCTCTTCTGTCCATTGTTGTGTCTTTACATTTTTAGACTGTATGTCATTATGTCATTTTTAGGCTGTTGGTTGATGAGTATGTCATTATGTCATTTTTAGGCTGTTGGTTGATGAGTATGTCATTATGTCACAGATATTAGTGCCCGTTCATTCTACTTTCTCTGCTCCACAAGAAATTTGACAATTACTATTTTTTGATGCTCTGAAATAATATCCACTCTTCCTTTTCAAGCAAAAATTATTATTGCTTTGCCTATTCTCTCTCCACTGCAATTGTTTTTGTAACTCTCCACAACAAATTCCTGCACTTGTGCCTCAATAAAATGAGAGATTTATGTACCTATTTCAAGGTAGAATAAATTTTGTGCTGGTTAATTGTGTCCTTGTACCTGACGGTGTTAATTTATTCCTATTTCAGTTTAGAGGAGAGGCAGAGAGCAGAAAAGAGAAATCGAGAAACCAAGGGTGACAATTTCACTCCCAGATGGTTCGATTTGACTGAAGATGTTGCAACTACCCCCTGGGGTGATATGGAGATTTACCAGTACAATGGTAAATACAATGAGCATAGGGCAGCTATAGATAGCTCCGATATTGTTGAGCTAGAAGATGTGAAAACCACGGAGTTCAACCCTTGGCAGTATAGTGATTTATCTGGTGAATGAGGTAAAGTTTTTCCCACCCAAATAAAAATATCTAGTGATAATTGCCCCTTTAAAGGATTGTCGTCTATTTTAGCCTGGCCCTTACCTTCTATGCTCACGCCAAAAGAATCTAACCCTAAATCAAGCCTTCACCCAAGTCATGTCAACTACACAGGTAGCCGGTGAGAATTATATCATCTATAAATCATTCATACTTGAGGTAACACATCACTTAGTTGTGCTAAAATTGACTAAAGGCCTCTTTAGCCATGAGGTGTTGACAATTGCATTGGGGTTGTTAGACTCTCAGATCAAAAATCTAGAATCTGCAAAAGAAGTTCCAATAGTTATACCTCCTTTAAGGATTGGAAGATATATCACAAGCTTTCTTTTGGAGAAGATACAAAGAGGGTATAAGTTATCAAAACAGGGTATAAGGGTCTTCATCTCGCTAGGCTACATCATAACCTGATCTTTTTTTTGTTTGCAGAAATTCTTTGCGTCATCGTCTCAACTGCAAATTATAGGAATGGCATATGAAGTTATCCAAAGGATGATATAATCTCTCCTATCAGGCAATCTCAATGCTACCAGCGGGGTAGATAGAAAATGTATCCTGCATTAAATTGTATAAACTCATTATTGAAGATGATTTCTTCGAACAGAATCAATAGTGCTCCCCTATTAAGTTGGCTGTATGTTTTTTACCTTTTTCATTTAAAGTAGTTAGCTAGTGTTTTTTACCTATCTCATTTGCGTATTATTTGTTTGATTACTGTATTCATAGTTGACAGAACTATCTGTTTATTGAAGAATTACATACAAGGTTTATAGTCTTTGGCTTTTTGAAGCAACTAGTGGAAGAATTCCTTGTGTAATACTTCGTATTATAATGTCATGTCTTCATGTACTGATATTTACCTGGTCGTTGGTTTTATTCATATCTAGCTTCATATGCTTTACTCACTAATTAGTTATTTAACTACACTTCATATGCTTAACATGGAACAACTCGTATGACAAATCGATTCCATTCCAACTACTAATAACTACACTGGCAAGGAGCATTGCTTTAGTAGCAATAGGACAGGGACCTTAGAAATCATGTTTCTATTCAGCTGAGACATCCTTCCCTGAGCACCCAAGGTTACCAATTTTCATTGAAGCCTTCTAGAGTTGGAGCTGTTTCGATCAAGTTATTTCAAAGGGTATGCCTGTAAACGAAATCTGAGAAAGTACTCTTGGTCTCAAGAGCTTATTCTACGTTATAAGCTTTCGGAAGTTGCGGTTTCATTTTCATTTTGGACTGATAATAATACTCTGTATCTGTATGAAACATGTGATAGGTTGGCATAGTTTAAAGAGTCCAGGAACTTTTTTGGTACAATGTTATTGACCTTAAGTATGACTATGATTTATAATACTTGTATATATTACTCCGTAATATGTACTATGTTCACATGAAAGAATAATCAACCACACTTATTGAACTCTATTAATTTCTATGGTATTGAAGAACGTCATAAAGGGTAGTCGATAATAGAGGATGCAAAATTCATAAAAAATAGGAAGTTTGGATAAGTTATTTTGAAAGGAGATAGTAATTACAGTTAGAAATTAGTTGAATTTCATAGATTAGAAAAGGTGAAGCGGTTGCTCTTGTTATGGGTCAAGAAGCAATAGCCGACACGTAGAATCAGAAACTGAAAAAGTCAAACAAGATAACTCCCATAGAAAAAATGTAAAATCTGTTGTCTTGACTTTTAAGAATGTCGCTTTGACGTCAAGTTATGTTCTTTACTGTTTCGTATTCTTTACACTTTAATCAACCTTCTGTTTCTTGCCTCTGTGCCCTTGTAATTCTACCGTTCCATGATCTTTTATGGATACTCCGTATTAATAAAGAGAATAATTATGGACATATTAAAAATGAGGGACAACAAACACATTATAAATTTTGCATGTATAAAAAGGATGTTTGTGTATTTAGAAAATACAAAAGGATGTTAAATATGTGTCGGATATGAACACACTAAATAACCCTATTCAAAAGATTAACATTATCGGATCTATAAAATAAAATTCATGTTCTATTTGGTTTGGTACTTAACTCGATCAGCCTATTTTTGTGTATTGCATTATAAATCTATTTTGTTCTTTCTACTCCGTAATTTAATATTTTACTCCTTTTTTGTTAAAATGCTCTATGTTACGCTGTTACAATGCTACCCTTATTTAAGACATGATAATATACTACTCCGTGATATGGTAGTCCAGACTTATTTTCCGTCACACCTTAACCAAGGTTAGTTGTCCCTAAACCCCGACTCGTTGGCCGGGTAGCAAGACCCCGTGCTATCTAGATCGTTAAATTATCCCATAATCCAACAAATAGTATCCTTCTTTTCCAGCTTTCTTGGGCTTTCTCTTCCTCTCACCAGCTAGGAAATGGGTGGCTATGATCTAATTTCCCGTTAGAAAATACAGTAACATATCTCCATTATTTTTATATTTGTTGCAGATCATGCTCAGCAATCATGTGATGGCAAACTACTTGACAGAACATCTAATTCGATCCCCATAAATTTTTTTATTTTATCTTTAGATATAATAAAGTGGTAAAAAAGACACGTTTTTAACTGAAACTAGTTAATGTTAATGTGTTCTGTCATCATTGGCTCTTTGTGGGGAAACTCAGGTACTTTTAATTTAATTTGAGTATATTTAAGGTGATACGAAATATGGAGTAATTTAATTACGATTAAATCCTATTTGTGTCATACATACGTTGAGTATACATTTGAAGTTATTTCTGCTAGTTCTAATATTAAAAGAATCCAAATTTAACCCGTATTAAATTAAGAACACATAAACTTAACAATAATTTTGTGAAATCAAAACTTATTAAGTAACCTAACTTCCACGCAGTGACACAACTCTCATACATAAACCATGTGTGTCTCGCTGTGTATTCCATGCGTCATATTTTTCTAAATAGTGGTATAAATTATAAAAAACAATATCCTTTCTATTTGTCGAGGGCTGCTCAACTCCTAACCTTGATAATTTTATAAAACTTATCAAGGGGTACATTTGTAATTGCATTGTAACACCTACCTTGGTCACGTAACAGCTCAAGGGGTATATTTGTAATTTTATATTTGCCTTTTTTGTTTTTTTATTATTTTATAATACAAAAGTTCTTTTTATTTTCATATCTGCCACTTGATAAGTTTATCACGTTAGGAGATAGGAATTTCCCCTATTTGTCTTATTTGAAACCAAGAAAAAAAGTTGTTATAATATGTCTTAAATCTATTAAGAGGTTCATAAATATGGAATAGTACAACGTCGATCAACCATCGAAACAACATTAGAATTGAATCTAGCGCCAGTGGTCCGATCACGTTCTAAATTCATCCACCGTCAAATATAGTACAGTACGTCTAAATGAAGCAGCCACTACCCACGTGATATTATGTATATGTGTCCATGAAGCTAGGAAGAATAATTATGGAAGAGAGTGATGATCGATATTATCAATTCTATGGATTATATAAATTATATATTGTAGACTTTGACGTATATTATGGTCCCAACGTATTCAATTGAGATCATTAGATTATAGCTAACTAAGCTAAGCTTCATAAATAATGTTAACTAAATAATTGGTGGCTATTTTGACAGTTTTATGAAGCCTACTTTAGAGTTGAGAGTTTATTAATTGAAATGTTTGACAATATCTAATAGGCTGAAAACTAGTTAAATTTTGGTACTAAAATAATTGTAATGATGGTAATTTATACCACGTACATGTGATCAAATTAAAGATGCCAACTCATCATAAGTGTTCAATTAAAGTAGTTTATTTTCAATCCTACTTAATTAAAGGATAAATTCAAAACTATATGGTTAACCACTTTGATCTACCAAGTGGCAAGTTGGTCATACTTTAATCCATAATGTGACGTGAGATATTTAGTAAATGGCTCTCAGGAAGCCTGGTTGGCAATGCCTAAAGGGATAGGGGGATGGGATTTGTGCCTGATGAAAATCAAACCTCGCACTTCAAGGATGTGAGGTGACCTCTAGGCCACTGGTCCAAGAGATCATTCTCATTTAACTTGCCTAATTGACCCTTACTAAAAATATGACTTCTTTTTTTAAACCCCCAAAAACCAAAAAAAAAAAAAAAAAAAAAAAAAAAAAAAAAAAAAGCCTAAAAAGAAAAAGAAAAATGGAATTCAAAGAGAATCGTGTTCGTATTGCAAAAGATGCTCAATAGAATATACTATGTTCAAAAGATGTTCAAGAGTTATGAGATGGAGAAAGAAACTTGAGATAAAGGTGGTAGAACCATTGAAACTCGTAGGGATGTATATATTGACTAGCTCGGATTAATGTTTAACTGATCTTTGTTGCCCCTAATTATTGTCTGATCTTTCTACTTCATTCCTACCTTCTTTAATTTCAAATCCAGTTGGTTTTAAAAAAAATAAAATAAAATAAATTCAAATCTAGTTGTTCAATCGCTAGTTGAGATTTGTTGGAGACTTGATGCATGTTCAATGATACTTTGTACTTCTTTAATTTATTATAGTGTATATCAAATGTTATAACAACGTCGTTACATATCTCTACAATCGGGAATTAGTAACCTTGAATAATTGAACTGTTATTCCAGTGACCACTAACCGATCGTTGGATTGGTTTTCCATGTTAGTTACAAACTATTAACATGAAAAATTAGATGCTAGTTATTGATAAGTTTACTTAATTTGTTTGATCGATTGGTTTTATTATATGTTATTGACGACTAATAATTAATATGCAAAACGTACAGCTAATAAAATTTAAAAGTAAATCTAACCATAAATTTATTAAATCTTACTATGAGTAGTAATTAAAGTCATATGTAATAAAAGAAGTCAATGAATAACATTTTATTCTATATGGAGTATATACACAAATTAATTAATCACCAATCCAGCATAATCTTTACGTGTAAAGTACTAAAATATCATTTAAATCCCAGTGGTCACTGGTCAGCGAAAGGTAGCTGGAATAAATTGATATTGACCAATTTTTACGGTTTTACCAAATCCATGTTCATCTACTACGCAGGACCATAATACATACAAAGCACTTCGTATTTCAATTTTGACAGAAAATAAGAAATAATACTGATACGGTAATATCTTATCCCTAATGGCTTTTTCTTTTTTTTTTTTTTTTTTTCCCTTTTTCTTTTTCATTTCGTTTGTTTTAGATTACTTGCAAGTTGCAATACTTTGAGGTCTTCAACTAAAGTTGCTTGTTTGTTGACGCACGACTTTAACAATCGATAACTTTAATTATCTATTTATAAGTATAACAAATTAATATATTGAAATTATATGTTAAAGTAAAACTCAACATCATATTCTCTTATTTTCTTTTTTAATTTTTTTTTTTAATACTTGCAACATGTTTTCTTGACACGCTATCTAAAAAAGTGATCAAAGAAGGTGAATTAATAGATTAAGCTATAAAATTTAAACTGTAATAATTTAACACTTTCTCCTTGTCAATGATAAAATAATTTCAATTAATTTGTCCGTTCACCTAGTTTAATATCTTGCCTAATAAAGTACATATCAAAATATAATATGTAGCAAGCAAATAAAATGAACTTATCTTTTTCCATCGTTCGGAAAAAAAAAATGCTCAAAATGAAGTTCTTAAACAACGCAAAAAAAATAAAATAAAATAAAATTGAGTGTGTAGATAATAACTTTGAAGTTTGGATGGAAAGATTACTTTATGCATCTCTTTAAAATATTAATCATAACCTATGAATGGAGTACGCAGTGGTTTACAATTAAAAGAATATTACAAACAAATGGATATTGATGTAGAGATCCAATATTTTCTTTTTAAGATCGAAGTACCAAATTTTTGG